TGATGAATGAATAGAGTTATGACTCTGTACCCACTGTATTCCGAACTAGGGTTTGTATGTCTATCAACTAGACATTGTTCTTTGCCTTTGGGGTTGACTACATAGTATTATAATCAACTGTTTGCACATTCTTTACATAATAGTGAAATACCTTTTTTTGGTTCCAAGACATATTTTTCTAAATTTAATTATATTTGAATTTACTTTTGGTATACAGTCAGATCATTTACTCGTAACCTAGTTTCAAATAAAGTATTTGGCTTTAGCTGGTTATTTTAGTAACCATTTCTTTTGTTTACTTCTCTAGATATTCTGGTCTGCTCGTTTTCAATTTGAAATATGCGAACCCACTACTGAGTTGCCTAGTGAGCTGCCTGACGCCGACTTAAGGCACATTTTCTCTTATTATCCAGCTGCTCGTCACGGTTGTCTGATCGGTCTGTCTCTCAGCACATCTTTTCCCGCTTCTTTTCCAAATAAAACATCTACACAAAGCACTATAAAGTCCTCTAAAGATGCCGTTCCGCCAATGATTACGGCCACCAAGAGGTCTTTATTTTTCAATTCTTCCGTTGGACAAACAGAACAAGCCTGGTATATGCCTTCGCTGAATCGACCTGGCACGATCGCGCGAATTGTGTGGGCCCACAGCCTGTGGCTAGGTGGGGTTGTTTGTAGAAATAATGATATTATTATAGTTTTAAGATCTATTTTTTTAATCATCGGCATTATTCTTCGATCATAATGGCATTGATATTGGTGCAAACGTATTTAAGAAAGATCATTGGTAAACGTGGTAATTTGAACTATTAATATCTCTGATTGTAACATAATCTGTAAGTGAAAGTTTTAATTATATCCTTGCTGAATTACTTATTCATAACCTATATCTTGATGAACTGAAATTACCAGTTAAAAATTTATTTTTGAAAGGCTTTAATAAAATGTTCTTGCGCTCCTGTATAAGACAAAGAGACACTATTTTATTCTAATATTATAGGGCAATTTTAGTGCTGAGTCTTAGCATAGGACATTCAACTATGATTTGTATAAACGAAACTTTGTAATGTATGAATGCTTAAGTATCACTAACAGAACAAACTACTTTCCGTATACAAAGAAGTTGGGTTGAACTTAATTATTCTTGCAAGCCCTTATTAAAAATACTACTGGATTTAAAGAATTCTTCTATTAAATTGATATATTTTATATGTTTAATTTTGCTTTTTTAGTTTGATTGCTTATTTTAGGATAATAATTTTATGTACCTAATGCCAAATGCTTTTACTAAATGTTTTCATCGGCTAGTGTAGTTTTTTTGTTCAAGATGGCAAGATATTCTATTATCTATTCCTCTCTTGCTCGGAAATATTTCGGTAAGCGTTCTATTTTGGTCAAAAAGAGCATCACAATACCATTTTAAATAATTATTTCCCTTTGATGCTTGGATCCACATTGATATATAGTATGGGTTTAAGCTCGTTATGCCTCTAGCCAGCAGATGCTCTACTATAGCCTAAACCTTCTTTTATTGAATAGCTACTGTAGGCTTACGTTAAGAAAATACTCTAATAGGACACAATCCTTTCTAGTTGTTGCTATGCGAACTCCTAATCAGATGATCTATATTATAAAATGTTTTTAAGAAAATCATCTTTTCAATGTCGTAAGGGAAATTGGCAAGTTTGACAGTACAAGTGAAACTCGCTCATACATCTAGTTAAATTAGAGTTTTTTACTAGACTAATACGGTTGACAAAAAGGTAATCACAGGTTATGAAAAATTATAGTATGTTAAAGATCCATCTTTATTAGGGCTCTCAATTTTTCTCGCACTTGAAAATGTTTACGAAACATCAATATGATTCACTAATTGATTTGAATTAGTTTCACCTAGATTATATGCAGGGTGAGAATGCAGTAATTTGACCTGGCATTTAGTAGGAGTATGGTCGCATAACTAATTCACTTCTCAGAACAGCGAATTCAATTTTGAATCTAAGGCTATTGTAGATATATTTTTGGATTATTAAAGTTGGAAATAAAAAATCTGAAATATATTATGTTCATTTTGGAGTTTCCTTATATCTCATTACATTTAGCCTGATTCATACTGAAATACTAGATAAGTCGATTAGCTGAGTCTTTTAGAGTCATATTTCTCTTGAGATTATAATCAAACTACTTTATTGCGAGTTGATTTTGCTCCTTAACTTCCTAATTT